CGCATGCACACATGTCACCAAACACAGATAGGATAGCTTCACACAAAGCTCAAAGTTGAGCTCCCTCTCTGCCTACAATTTACCAGGTAGTTCTGTTTCACAATGTATATTAATATCTCTGTTTGAACTTTGACGATATATATCTATATCTATATCTATATCTATCTATATATAATATTATATATATATATATATATATATATATATATATATATATATATATATATATATGCAGGGCCCTGACTGTTCACTTGCTGGAGTGTCTCATTCGCATGCACACATGTTACCAAACACAGATAGGATAGCTTCATACAAAGCTCAAAGTTGAGATGAGAGAAGAACCGAGTAGCGCAGCTTATATTATCAAAAGTCACGTTATACAAGAGTTTCTCAAGTTCAAGAGTCCAGTGCCCAAAGTATACAAGTCTCTCCTTCATTCCAACATACATACACATCCTGGCTTAGCCAGCGCTTGTTCCAGATCTCAAGAATGGCGCCAACAGGTAAGTTTCCACCATCACCAATGTCTCCACCTGTCTTCACTCTCCCTTGTTCTCTTCTCTCAAGATCTTTGCCCCGGTTCTCCTTGTCTCTTCTTACATGCACACTCCCTGTCTACAAGGATCTACTCAGAATGCCTCTCGCTGATGTACTCACACTAACCCTGCTAATACTACTACTAATACTAGCTCTGACTGGCGCAGCTATGCCTTGATGCAGCCGCACAGCTTCCCTTCCTCTAGCGCAGCTTCTTCTTCTGCCAGCGCTTCCTCCCTGCACCTTAGCGCACAAGTGCCTCAGCACTTCCACGCATCAATGCCCATGGGGATCTGCCTTGTGGGGAGGCTGCCTCGTTTCTTATAGTGCTGGCCTCCCCTGGCGAGGTCTGAATTCAGTCTTTGTTGGTCCCTTTCCCAGTCCCAGCCTCTGTGCTGTGTGCCACAGTTCCTTTTACTCAGGGTCCACTGCTGCTGCGGCGTTCAGGCCTCAATTTCGGACTTCCAACCTGAATCTGGACTCTCCTTTGGACTGGAATCCTGACTGGGACTCAACCCTCTGACTTCCTTTTGAAAGGACACACCTACTATACGTACAGACATACATTTTGTACGAACAAACACATATATTGCACGTACAGACACATCTCTTGCCTGAACAGACATGACCTGCGCACCCCTGGACGAACAGTCGTGACCCCCAAATCTAGATATTGCAACTGTTCGTTCAGGGGCACAACTGTGACCTTTGACATTGGCTTTTGTTTAGCTAGGATGTGACTCTTGACCCAGAGAACATGTCCTTTGATCTGCTTTCACGAGTTGGACCCTGGCGAGTGACCCCTCTATGCTGCATTTGCCGAACAGGGTCTGAATCGGGTAAAGGCCCTTTTACTCTCGCCGGCCTAGTTTCGAAGTCCTCTGAGGAAAAACCTTCATCTATCTATAATACCTATTCCTCTTTTAACTCTTTCATATGCAGACACAATATGAGGTGCAGAATCCATTAGGTCTTCTCGTGTGAACCAGCGATCTTCACTTGGATCCTGATAAGCGAATCTCACCTTATACTGCCGTTGTGGTCTGCCTCTACGTCCAGTCTGAAAGGTACTTTCAGCAACAATCTTATCTACATCGTATTTCCCATCCATACTAGGAGGTATTGCCGATCTGCAACTGGGAAACAACTCCTTTGTTATGCAAGGTAAGAGTTTATGCAAGGTAAGAGTTTCGAAGCGTGGAATACTGGATACATATGTAGATGTAGAGGAATCTCTATAACATATGAAGGACCATCCACATCGCCAATCACATCTAGAACCTGCCAGGGTCCTCTGTAGGCTGGTAGCAACTTCTGGGAGATGTTCTCTTCGGGAACAAACTCCTTAGACTTAACCCACACCAGATCACCTACAGCAAACTGAGAAGGTCTTCTGTACTTATTTGCCTGTTCTATCATTTGATGTTGTGCCTTCATTATATTTTCTTTTACCTTTTCAATGTCTTTCAGATATTGGATAGCAAATTCACTAGTTCCTAGTGGAAGCTTATGCACTTGATCCGGGTTTACCCGATCAATAGGCCTGCATGGACGCCATCCCATATGCAACTCCATCGGAGTTTTGCATGTAGATAAATGGACAGAGTTATTGTAGGCGCTAGCAACTTTGGGCAAATGTTCGTCCCAGTCAATCTGGTCAGGCCGAATATACATGCGCAGCGTTTGCTGCAGAATCTTGTTCATTTGCTCAGTTTGCTCGTTAGTTCCAGGATGTCTGCTTGGAGACATAGTCAACTTACAGCCATAGACGTTTATTAACTGCTGCCATTGTTCACTTGTGAACCTTGTGTCTCTGTCACTCACGATTGTCAAGGGATGCCCATAGTCTTTCACCCAATGGTTAAAGAACTCCCGGATTACTAGTTCCGTTTTTGCTTCCGCTAGTAAAGCTACGAAGACAGCATACTTACTAAATTTGTCGACGATTGCCATTACCTGCGTCTTCCCATTCCTGCTTTTTACTTTGGTGTCCATAAAGTCAATGGACACAGAGTCTCCTGGACCTGTTGGAACGGGCAAAAGCTTAAGTAAACCAAGGGGAGGTTGTGTGGTACTCTTATTTCTTTGGCACACTTGACAACCCTACACATACGCAATGCAGTCTGGTTTCATATGAGGCCAGGTGTAGGAACGCAAAAGGTTTGCGTAAGTCTTCCTCCACCCAAAATGACCCTCGGTGTCGTGACATTCCCCTAAGATCAAACTCTTGATCTCTTCCCCATTCGGAATACAAAGTTTGTCATGCACATCAGTCCTTTCAAACAACAGTCCTTGCATGATACGATAGTTAGGAAACTCTGTTGGCGCTTCCTGTACACGTTTCAGCATAGCGCCATAGACAGGATCAGTGGAATACGCATTTCTAATTTTCTCATGTAGATCGGTGCCCACATCTAAATAGGTTACAATGACACCAAAGAAATATGATCTTCGACTCAACGCGTCGGCAACAACGTTATACTTACCCTTAACTGGCTTTAACTCAAAGTCATATTGATCAATTTCAGCGGCCCACCTCGTTAATTGAGGTGTCATCCGGGCCTGTGTCTTAAGCCAGCGAAGTGTTTCATGATCCGAATATACCTTGAAGTGGCATCCTAAGAGATAGTGTCGCCAGTGATCCAAAGCTTCTCGAAGAGCATACAACTCTCTCTCATACGTAGAAGCGGCGACCTTCTCGTTAAGCACTCGTCGGGACATAAATTCTACAGGCTTGTATCCATTCCATCATCTTGTTGTAGTACAGCGCCTATCCCGTACTGACTGGCATCAGTTGTAACTACGAAGGGCAACGAAGGGTCAACAACTTTCAAAACCGGATAGTTAATTAGACATTTCTTCAAACGTTTAAACGAGGTTGTACAGTTTGAATCCCATTTGCATATGGTTTCTTTTTTTAGCAATCTGCGAAGGGGCGCAACAATTATCGTGAAGTGTCTAACAAACTTCCGATAATAGTTGGCTAGCCCAAGGAACGACCGCAACTCAGTCAAAGTGCGGGGGTTAGGCCAATCGCGTATCGCTGCAATTTTCGTGTCTTCCGGTTTGATCTCATCACCATCAAACACATGCCCCAAATACAAAACCTGACGCTTAGCCCAATCACACTTTTTCGGGTTTAATTTCAAATTTGCTTCACGCGACTTATTTAGCAGAAGTCGAAGGTGCTCGCAATGTTCACTCAAGTTCTTAATAAAAATCAAAATATCGTTAAGATACACGACAACAAATTTATCAACCCATTCACGGAAAAACTCATTCATTGTTCTTTGGAAGGTTGCAGGAGCATTAGTAAGACCAAAGGGCAACACCACGAACTCATAGTGCCCGTACCTTGTTCGAAAGGCAGTTTTGTGTTGGTCTTCTGGCTCTACCTCAATCTGATGGTAGCCAGACTTCAAATCAATCTTAGTGAAGTACGTGCAACCCTGAACTCTATCCAAAAGATCATCAATCCTTGGTAATGGCTCAACATGTTTGACTGTTATATCGTTAAGTCTTCTATAATCAATGCACATGCGTACCCCGCCATCTTTCTTTGGTACAAATAGCACAGGCGCACCATAGGGCGAGGAACTAGGTCTTTCCAGCAATTCATCAAGCTGGGTTCGCAGTTCATCTAACTCCTTGGGTGACATTCAATAGATAGGCCCCTTAGGAATCTGACTTCCTGGAATAATCTCAGTGCGATGTTTGATAGGTCTTTCAATTACACCGCTCGGGGTTTCTGCCACATCTGCGAATTCTTTCAGAATCTTATCAACTTCTGGGGGGTTAGCCTCTTCTTTGACTTCACCCTCTTTTACTGGGCGCACATATGCAACAAACACTTGGTCATATAGATTATACTTTTTCACATGACGGGCGAACGCGGGAGCACTCATACAACAATGAGCTAAGCTGCTTTCCTTACCAGATTCATGGAATAGGCGGATTTTCTTTTTTCCACCCTGCGGACTAGGGAGCCAACACTCATGATCCCTTAACTTTACATCCGCATCTGCAGCTTCACCCCAATCCATCCCTAAAAGAATGTCAAAAGGAAGATTATCTTCCACCAAGAGAATCAGGGAGTGGAGAACACGTTCCACCTTCCCCCCTGCTTCGAGCCGGAAGTATACCTTAACCCCTTCAACATATCTATCAATAATAGTTACTGTACTATTAGCTAACTTACTTACTACGGGCTCATCCAATTGTTTAACTTTAAGCCCGAGATGCAACTCCTTTAACCTTTTCTTACTAATATACCTGCGTGTAGACCCGCTATCTATCATTCCTCCTACTCTTACTTTATTGACTTCAAGATCTGCAATTATTAGTTGTCCTTTTTGTTTCTTCATCTCAGTCCAGGCTTGGCGACGATCGGCCAACTCATCACCCATGCCAGTGAGGGATCCATCTAGAGAGATGCATACGCTTGCCACCTCTGGACAGTGCACTAGATGGGGACTGTCTACCTCTTCAGTTTCTGCCAGTAGGACCTTCGAATGGGAGGATTTTTTTTTTTCAACATCCGAAGTCCCTGTAGAGGCAACTGAGACCTCTACAGGCTGCTCCCTTTTGCCACCTTATAGTCACGGCAATAAGGGACAATGTCGTCGGGGTCCCCACATTTAAGGCACTGGTCGACAACTTTCCTTTCCTGCCAAACTTTCTCTGTAATTCCCAACTTTTTCCAAGGTTCTCCTTTGGGTACACCTGGATGAGGTGGGTATGGCTTATCCCACTTGTTGTACCAGGTGCCGCTTCCTCTTCCCCAGGCAGAATCGGAACCACGACCACCTTGCGAGGGACCATTTCCCCTTCCTCCCGTGTAGTAGCTACCTTCGCCACCACCCCTCTGGATGCCAGGTCCTCTTCCACCACGTCCGCGACCACCTCTTCCTCGGCCACGTCCTCTTCCTTGTCGCCCTCCCCTGCGGGCTGCAACGGCCGCGTAGCTCCCCTCCTTAGCTACCAAACCGTTGGGTCCTTCCTCAAGACCATAATCTACTTGGTCCCAAGAAAGTGTTACGACACCTGCTTTTTCAAAGGTTAGAAGGATGTTGTCTTTCCCAGGTATTGACCCTGAGATAGTGCGGTTTTGCCATTTCTTTCCCGCTTGCAGATCTTTCCTGTAATGGCAATAGTTTGCTTCAGCCAAGAAGCCCGCATGATCTAATGCGATCTTGTTGAACTTCTCGTATGTCATCCCCTCTTCCTTGGTGCGGGGATACAACTGAGTCCTGAGGGGGTTGGGTAGTGCGCGTGCAAAACTATTTAGAATTTGAGTTGGGGTCAGTCCATGCTCATTACATTGCAGCAGTTCATCCATAGTTGCCTTAAGTGCTGAAGTACTTTTCCATTTCCTATCTGGGAGATTCAATATCAATATCTTAGTTCTCCTGGCTAAGTTCTTGTCCTGAAACCGTTCTATGACGGCTTTGAGAAAGTCTTCGATGCGGTTTTGTTGGGAATACTCTACCATGGAACTGCAACCCGCTTCCTTTTGCAGGGAGATTGCAAAACTCATGGCATCTCCTCCCATACATGAACTTGCCATTAACACTCGGTCCCAATACGGAATTCGTTGTCCGTAGACATAGGATTCGACTGCTGCAATCCAATGCAATACACTTTCGTATTTCTTCCCTGTGTATGTCCATGGAATCTTTACTTTAATTTTGTTGATTTGCCTTGCTCCTTCTTCTCGCTGCACACCCTTTCCTTTCTTGTCATCACGCCCATCTCCGTCTCCATCTCCATCTCCTCCGCCTCCGCCGCTGCCTTTGACTATCCTCTCAATCACAGCTGGAGTAAAGGTCTGGGTGATGTGGTTGTCTAACTTTTCAATGTATGATTTTATATGCCGATCGACGTCTTTGGCAAACTTTTCCAAGAAGGTATTCCAGATTCCTTCAAACTCATATTGGTTGGTCTCGACTTTTTGCAAAGTTCTGTTTATAGTCGCGACCTCTTGCTTTGTATGAAGGACCGTTTCTGTCAACAAGGCAAGCTTTTCTTCGGTTGCAATTTGTTTGTTTTTCTGCTCTTGCAACTCTTTCTGCAACCTTGCTCCTATTTGTAGTATTTTCCTTTCTTCTAATTCTTGCCTTTTTGCTGCTAATATTTTGCTATGCAATTTGGCACATTTTTCTTCGAGCATAAGGTCCTTTTCTTTCTGGTCATCAATGGATGCCAACTTCGCAAGGAACGTATCTCGTTCTTCTTCGGTTTCCTGTATCCGGTCGCTGGAGTATGCATACTGGTCATACCACTCAAGCGGCTTGACATTAAGTCCTTCACCCATCTGACTACTCTCTCCTCTTCCAGCCCGCCGTCTGATCAGCCTTTCGGCTCCTTCATCACCCTCTTCTTCTTCTTCTTCAGTAGTCTGTAACTCCTCTTTTAACTGCTGCTCTAACTTTTCTTTCATTTCACTTTTCAATCTTTATTCTTCCATTTGGGCTTTCTTCTTTATCTCCTCTTCTTTCTGTTTTTTCTGTCTTCTTTCTCTTTCTTTTTCTCTGCCTGCCGACGATCGATTTCTGCCTGTTCAGCAGGCGTGGGCCCTGGCTTAATTGTCCCTGAACGCATCATCATTCTGGATGCGCATACTCTTTCATATATATATAGATATATATACATATTAGATAGTTATCTGGGACTTCTTTCGATTTCTTTGCAGACAAGAATGTTTTGACATCCTGGTTGATCTTGTCCCGTCGTTTGGCCTGTGGGCAGGGGCGGTGCTTGCATGTGCGACTTGTCATCTGGGATCTGTTTTGTTGCCTGCTGTTCTGTTTTATTTGGCTGTTCCCTTCCTCTTTTCTTTGCCTCTTTGCCTTTTGGTTGTGTGCAAGTGGGTCGATATGACACACGGGGGTGGGGGTAGCCGCCGCTCAACCTACATCCACGTGGGCGGCCTTGTACGCAAGAGGTTTTGAACAGGGGGAGTTATAAGGCAGAAGATAAAAATTCATTTTTTTTTCTTTTTTCGTTTTTTGAAAATTTTTCGCTTTTGCGCTCTGATGTTCTTTTGACAATATATATCGTTTGTGTATATATACAGGGTTCAACCTCCTGATAATTTGGTGCAACTCCGACGGAACAGTCTGTCGCAGCCCCCTGATTCTTATCCTTTTCTCCTTTTTTTTTTTTTTTTTTCCAAACAGGTCCTTATGGCCCTGGCTCCATTTCCATTCTGGGGAGCATCAGTCCGGTTCCTATTCCACCGGCAAGTCAGAATAAAATATTACATCATGAACGCACATACGCTTCCTTCCATCTGGTTGAAGGAACCCTGACCAGCATGTGTGTGTCAATTATGTCTAAACTCTGATCCCCGCCCATATGCCTCGTGAGATCCCTACCAATCTGATACCTGTTTGCCTTGAATGTCTAAACCCTAAACCCTAAACCCTCAGCTATGGTTTTGAAGAGACTCCTAATTCATAAACCCTAAACCCTAGCTAATCTTGTGTGTCTTTTCCTAACTATGAAGGTTGTACTTAAGGACTACCACTGTTGCTCTCCTACGCATGCTTTTAAATAGCCACACTTAAGCCCCAAACCCTATCTAAATCCTTTGAACCTTTGAACCCTAAACCCCTTTTTTTAATCTCTATCATCCTGCTCCCTGTTTATCTTGTTTTTGTTCCGCTCCTGCCCCTAAACCCTAGACCGCCTTAATCTATTTTTCCATCTATTCCCTGTGAAAACTCTGCTGTCGCCTACCATAAGTGTCTCTCGGATGTTCATCTAGGTCCAGATTGGAGACGGATCTTCGTGTACCTGAGTAATCATCTGGCCTACCGACTTGACAGAGTTGTGCCACTCTTTCCATCTTAAAGTGTGCCCATATAGCCAAGCCACTTTGTCATCAACCAACCAGACCCGTCTGAGTGTGGCACCTGTTTTGTCTCTGGACTGTTTTGCACCCGGAGTTTCACCTTCCTCCATTGACGTAGGATTTCCGCTTCAATCATATCTTTGGTTGCCGCCCACACTTTCTCCCGTGGGTTCTTCGTGCCATCCAATGTTCTGCTGCACCTCTCCTTCCAAATGGCCCAAAGCGTGATCTTGCGCACCATCCCGAACCAGATTTTCTCTGATTTGCCGAAGTTAGAGGGTAAGTTAGTCCATAGGAGTAGTTGGAGGGGGTGCTCTGGGAGGGGAGAAGGGAATAGACTATCCCAAAGTGCTGCTGCTCTTGCCCAATACTCTATGGCTTCTTTGCGGTTAATTAGGCAATGTATCACATCCTCCTGTTGTTGATCAGAGCAGACTATACAAACAGCAGAGCTGGTTGGGTCGTTCATTCTTCTTCTGACATGTAGCCACTGGTTAACCGGTAGAGCCACATAGGTTATGAGCCATTGCATGCTTCTGATTTTTATAGGTCGTATCGTTTTGTACTTCTTCCATGAAATTTTTGCTATCTGGTCTGCCTCAGAACCAATTAACTTGCTGCATCTTCCTTTGATTATTGGGTCTGGGTCCTTTGTTTTTAACAGCGTCTTATAACCCAGGAGGACTGTATAATCATATGTTGGAATTGGTGGTTTTGCCGTTCTATTTCTGTATGGGCGCCATGCCCATTCTGATGGGTCGAACTCAAGGTTTTGAATTGCCTTGTTAATTTGGAAGATACTTTTAGGCCAGAGGCCTAACGTCCTTATTTTCCGCAACGTGAACGCATTCAACACTGCTTTTTCAGGATTGATCTTCTGAATGTGTTGTTCATCTGGCTTAGTCTTCAAAATTGAGAAGGAGGTGAATACATCCCTTGGACCGGGTGTGGACTGCCGGTGGGAGAATTGGTAGGCTCTAACTGGGGAGGATTCTTGGACCTGATTTCCATGTGAACTCTTCTTGTAGAATATCTATCCAGCTACACGAGATGCTTTGTATTGTCTTTTGGAGGTTTTCGTCCCTATGATGGCAGTTTTCAAGCAGGTCTTGAGGTCCGCCTTGTCCAGCCAGCTTTTCTTATCCTCGTTCCATATGTCCCCTACTCGCCAAACACCCTGTTTGATCCAGGATAGCCATCTGTTGCCTCTGATGGACAAAGTCCATGGGTGGTGTCCCTCATCTCTAATCCACGGATTACCAAAGAGAGGTTGTCTGAGCACTTCTTCTTTAGACCTTGGTTTGCCTAGCTTTTCTGGCATGATCTCTCTCCAGATCCGTAGCAGAGCAGCACAATACGGGTGAGAGGACTGGGTGGGGGTTAGTCTCCCCTGGCTTCTTTGACCCTTAGGAATCCAGTCTTTGTTCATCACCCAGAATAGTCCGGACATATTGGGAGGGGACTCAATCGGGGCCATACTTCTAATACTGTCTTGTGCAAGCATGTTCTAGGGCAAAGACTGTTTAGACAGCAACTTGACTACCCACTTGGTTTGGACGGCTTTCGTCTCTTGTCTGGGATCTATGATACCCAGTCCTCCCTGGGACGGTTTCCTTGTGATGAAGTGTCAAGCTATCTTAGGGATGTAATTCTCTTTGTTCGGGTCACCTGCCCACAGGTAGGCTCTGGCTTTTCTATTCAGATCTTTGATTGCCTGATCTGATATAGTCTAGATCAAGGCACTGTACCACATCATTGAGAATATGGAAGTGTTGATGGTAAGAGCTCTGCCCATTATTGAGGTGAACGCTTGACTCCATTTCCCCATTTTATTTATTTGGCTGGTTAGAAGGTTTTGTGCCATCTGGGGTGTTGGGTCTTCTTTCGTTACTTGGATTCCTAGATATCTCGTTGGCAGCTCAGGCCTTTCCCATGACATCTGGCTCTCCAGACTTTGGAGATGTGGCACCGGTTCATCTGAAAGCCACCAACTTATCGTCTTGCCCCAATTTATCTTCATTTATGAGGCTAGTCTGAAGGCTTCCATTGCCCTGACCAGGGCAGCCATTGATGACTTGGAGGGTCTGATTAAGACCGTCAAATCATCCACAAACATGGTTACTATAGGAAAATGTATGTTGTGCGCATACCCCATGTTCATTTCTGGCAGCCTTTGGATAGAAGGGTCCTTACGGAGAAAGGAGGCTATGGCTTCCATTACAAAGAGGAAGCTAGGCGGAGCTAATGGGTCGCCTTGTCGTACTGATCTGGAGATTGGGTAGCCTTTGGAGAGCAGTCTGTTAATCTGAACACAGCCGGAGGCATTATTATACAACACACGCCCCCATGTCCTGAAGTTGGGACCTACTCCCATCCTTTCCATGCTCGCATCTAGGAAGTCCCAGTTTACCTAGCCGTAGGCCTTTTCGAAGTCGAAGAAAGAGAATCGTTGTCCTAATTTTCTTCTCTACAACTTTCCTAGAGGCTTCTTTGAGGGTCATTACGTTGTCTAGGATGTATCTTCCTGGTATGAATTCAGACTGGTCTGTGTGAAAACACTTGTCTGTTAGGTCCAGTATGCAGTAAGCCAGTGCCTTGGCCAGTATTTTGTAGGGGAGTGTGAGAAGAGAAATTGGTCTGTAGTTCTTAATGTCTTCCCGATCACCTTTTTTATAGAGTAGAGTGACCACACTGGCACTAAGGAATTCGCCCATCCCTTCTTTTTCCCAACTGTCGTTATAAAATTTCAAGAGGTCCGGGCCCATTAGAGGCCAGTATTTTTCCCATAATTCCTTTGTTAAACCGTCTGCGAGGAACATGAATATGGACGAAGCACAGAAATCCAGATTGCAAAATCACACTGAAGTCCAAGTAGTCAAAGCAAGAGCAGATAGCACAATGGAACCGAGTAACCATCCATTTGAGAACGATACAGAAGAATCNTTGCAAAATCACACTGAAGTCCAAGTAGTCAAAGCAAGAGCAGATAGCACAATGGAACCGAGTAACCATCCATTTGAGAACGATACAGAAGAATCGTGAGTCAATGTCCAAGCCCAATAGGCCAACACCAACAGCATAACCCAATGTAGCTCTCTCCCTTGAATGGCGCCAGGCGCCCTACCTACTCTACAGCCTATCACTACAACTATAGTATGACAGCAACCAGACAACTTGACGACCAGCGAGTGATGATGTCAACACCAATGCCGACCTCCCACCTCCACCAGGTACGTCTCTCTCTTCACCCACACCCTCCCTTGTTATCCCACACAGCGCCCTTCACCTCCGAAGAACCACCATCGCCCTCACCTCCCCTGCGCCCTCGGGCAGCCCGGCTATGGCCGCCAGCGCCCTGTGTACAGGCAGCGCCCTACCCCCTAGCGCCTGCCTGTCTCGCACCTCAGCCTAGCGCAGCGCAGCAGCGCAGCAGCTCGCATTAGCGCAGCGTGCCGGCATTGCCCGCAATGGCCAAGATCCTTGCCCACTCGCCTTGCTTGCCTATATGCCAGTGTTGCGTGTGGGCGGCCTCCCTTCAGCCTGCGTCTGGGCCCCAGTACCTGAACCCCGGCCCGATGCAGTTGGGGCCTGGGAGATGCAGTTGCGCCTCTTTCATCAAGGTCTGCAGCCAGATTCAGATAGTGGGCCGGTTTCCCATTGGCATTTTTGGCCTCTATACCTAGCATGCATTGTCGGCCTCACGTTTATGTGCCCAGGGCCTAACCAACTCAGGGGCCCTGGGATTTCCGCATTTGCAGAGATCCGAGACTCGGTGCACTCCAAACAACTGGCGTGCTGCAACTGTATGGACCCCACTTCGTGAAATGTTTGCACAGAGGGCTCTTGTTGATTTGCTGGCCCGCCTTCACTTAGGGCGGGCACGAGGCTTGCTGGAGCCTTAGCCCAGAACATGTACATCATGGCAAGGCCCCTTCTTGAGGGCTCAATCCTCACATTCCATCCCCCTTAGCTTCGAAAGTCCGCTGAGATGCTTACTTCGCAGGTGCCTTCCCTTTCAGCATCCTCTCATATTCTGCCACCACCTGAGGAGTTGTGTCAATCAGTTCCTCTCTGGTGAACCACCGATCTGCTTTTGGATCCGTATGATGCCTGAATCTTACGCGATATTCTCTCTTGGGCTTAGGAGGTCTTCCTCTACCCAAAGGCTTCTGAACAGACAGATCTCTGTGATCCACAATGTCGTCGATGTCCACTTGACCATCCATGGTTGGGGGCAGCATCGATCTCCTTGAAGGGAATTGATCAGTCTCAACGAAAGGTGCAAGCTTTGAGGCATGAAAGACAGGGTGAGTGGGTAGGTGTCCAGGGATACGGATAACATAGGTAGGACCATCCATCTCATCCCCCACTACATCCAGGACTTCCCAAGGACCAAAGTATTGAGGCATTAGTTKTCTAGAGATACCGAATTCCTGTCCTAGCTCACTAGCCTTGACCCAGACACGTTCCCCTACCTGAAATGAGGACTGTCATCGATGCTTGTTCTCAGAAGCAATCATTGCTTGCTGAGCTTTCTTAATATGCTCGACAGCTTGCTGCAGCAACTTCTCATACTGCACACCATACTCAAGTGTGCCTGGAGTTGCAGAGGATCGGTTTTCAGGTAGGAGGAAGTCTAGAGCAGATCTAGGCTTCCATCCCAAGTGCAGCTGGTTAGGACTAACGCCGGTACTGCTGTGTACAGCGTTGTTGTACAGGCTGGCGATGAGAGGCAACTTCTCATCCCAATCATCCTGCGTGGGCTTGATGTAATGCCTCAGCAAGTGTTGTACAACTCTATTCATTTGCTCGGCCTGTCCGTTGGCTTCGGGATGATTCCCTGAAGTCATCTGAAGTTGACTGCCCATCTGCTCAGCAGTCTTCTTCCACAGCTCACTTGTGAATCGGACATCTCTGTCACTGACGATTGACTTCGGAAGTCCAAAATCACGCACCCAGTTGTCCATGAACAACTTGATGGCGTGGTCAGTCCTTGCGGTCTCTGGCATAGCTACTAGTCTAGCGTACTTGGTGAATCCATCGATGATGACGAAGATGTGTCTCTTGCCACTCTTACTGGTCACCAGGGTGTCCATGAAATCCATGGAAACACTCTGTCCTGGACCAGCGGGGATAACCCAAGCGGTGCTTGAGTTCTCGGCTTGTCCCGCTGACAGACCTGACAGGTCTCTACATACTTCTTTGCGTCATCTAGCATTCCAGGCCACCAAAATCGTTGTACTAGATTAGCACTCGTCTTTTTGTAACCAAAGTGCCCGCTTGCGTCATGGCATTCTCCTAAAAACAAACTACGCAAACGTTCACTAGATGGAACTACTAACCTTTCAACTCCGGCCTTATCAAGATAGAGAAGCCAGTCCACCATCACAAACTCACTTTCCGTGGCCTTGTCTTTTGCCTGAAGTTTGCGCATGATGTCCATTGTGACAGGATCTTCCTAATAGGCTCCCACCAACGATTGAGTTACTTCTTCCGATACACCAAAGCAAAAAACTAGCGCCCCTAGGTAGTCTTCCCTACGTGATAACGCATCTGCAACCTTGTTGTACTCTCCCTTCAGATACTCAAGCTTGAAGTCATATTGATCTATGACCTCAATCCATCGCTTGAGTGCATTAGAAAGAGCCGGTTGAGTCTTGATCCATTTGAGTGAGCATAGAGTTCCCTTTCATAGGTGGACTTTGCCAGTTTCTTAGATGGCATCTTCTTACTCATGTACTCAATCGGTCTCAACTTCTTCCCATCCTGTTGAGCCAGCACTGCGCCAATGCCATATTGACTTGCGTCAGTGGTCACTATAAATGGCTTCTGAGGATCGGGAACCATGAGAACTTCATGATTCATGAGTGCATGCTTCAATCGCTTGAAAGCACCCTCGCACTCATCACTCCAGTCCCACGGCGTGTCAAGTCGAGTTAGATCCGTCAAAGGAGAGGCGACTGTATAATAGTTCTTTACGAAGTTCCTATAGTAGTCGCACATTGTTAAGAAAGATCTGACCTTAGTGACAGTCTGAAGGCCGTGGCCAATCTCGAATACTAGCCACCTTCGCATCTTCCGGCCTAATCCCTTCCGTGGATACTTCGTGACCTAAGTATAATATCCTAGCGTGACCAAACTCACACGTCTCTAGGTTGACCTTATACTTATGCTGTCGCAGGTTTGAAAGTACAGTCTCAACGTGTTGTGCATGCTCCTCGGCAGACTTACTAAAGATCAGAATGTCGTTAAGGTAAACCACGACAAACTTATCTAAATGGTCATGGAAGATCCGATTCATGGCGTGCTGGAATGTTCCCGGCGCATTGCAAAGACCAAAGGGCATCACTACAAACTCATACAGACCATATCGAGTCTGAAAAGTTGTCTTGTGTTGGTCCTCAGGTCTTATAGTGATCTGATGATAGCCGGATTTCAAGTCTATCTTGCTATATTACTTGTATCCCTGCACCCTATCCAGTAGGTCGTCTATGCGAGGTAGAGGCTCTGCGTTCTTCACTGTGATGGCATCGAGGCCTCTATAGTCAATGCACATCCTCAGTGTACCCCCCTTCTTTGGTACAAATAGTACTGGAGATCCGTAAGGGGAAGTACTAGGCCGGATCCATCCCTTCTCTGTCAGCTCTTTCAGTTGTCGCCGAAGTTCATCTTACTCGGCGGGAGCCATCCTATAGATCCTTCCCTTTGGGGTTTTACTCCCTAGAATGGTTTCTATAGCGTGGACAACTTCCCTTTCTACAACTCCTGTAGGCTCTTCGAACAGATCAGGGAACATAGCAACGACGTGTTCTATCTCTGGGGGTGTTTTAACAGCCTCCCCTTTTTCAGAGACATACACAAGGTATATACCCTCCTCTTGGTTCTGTTTGTAATAGTTGTAGAACGTTGATGCACACAAGCAGCCATAGGTATCTATTATGCTACTGGCTTTGAACTTAGTCAATCTGACTGTTCTGCCATCGAGAAACTTATGTTTAAGCACCTTCTTGTCCCAGTCGAACTGGGGCTTAGCAACCTCAAGGTAGTACATGCCTAACAACATGTCAAACGGCAAGTCGTCGCTAACCAGGAACGAAATCTTATGATTCAGTTCCCCTCCTCCATAGGAGAAGGTACAGACTACGTTCGGGATATAGTCTGTGACTATCATGCGCTCCTTGTTGGCCAAAGTAGCTGCTACTGGTCTACTAAGGTGCCGTACCCGGTCCTGTAGGTGCAGCCTTTCCAAACAGTCGCGACTTATATAATTCCTCGTGGATCCGATGTCTATGAAGGCACCACATTTGCGGCCTCCTACATCCACTTCCACCACGAAATGTTCCCCTCTAGGACCTTTCTTTAGTGCCGCCCAAGATTCGCGAGGGTCCTTTTTTGACCACTAGCTTTCGAGATCTTCTAAGGCTTCATACACATCTAACGTACAGAGCATAGTTTGGTCTAGATGAGTCTGCGGGGTGACTAAAGAGTCATTAGCTATGGCCTTCTCATGAAGTGGGGAGGGTATCTGGCCCACTTCACCATGAGTAGAAGCAGCTAAAACTTCCACCGACCTCACGTGTTTCCCGAGCTAGAAGCCTGGGAATAAGGTGCCCCCATCTTAGGAGGTATCTTTTGCGTGACCTTTGCGTTCTGGCACTTGTACTGCGAGTGTCCGTATTCCCCGCAGTTAATGCAAGCACCACGCACTCGGCGGTCCCGCCACACGTCTTGATCAATACCTGCCTTAACCCAATCAGCCACTTTGGTCTGATTGGAGGCGGCCTTCCCTTGACTCTTTGGTTGGCCCTTCACTTAGCCTTAACTACTGCGGCGAGGGTGCTACCCTCAGCGGTCTCCTCGCCGTCATACTCTAAAATGTCCAGCAGGTCTGTGAGCTCGTCGATCTCGGTTTGGGTCCCATTGGACTCAACCATCAACAATTTAGCCCCCTTCTTCTTCCATTCCTGCAAACTCTTCTTCTTCCTCGTGTCATTATGAGAAGGTTGGGCGTTTCCTAGAGTGGCCTCCAAATCTAAGGTTTTCCTAGACAACCTCTCAAAGGAGTGATACTCGAGGCGAGCCTCGCTGGCCAACGAGTTTCTGAGATTCTCTGGTAGACATCTCACAAACGTGGTCAATAGGAACTGGTTGTTGTAGTTTATACCGGGAACGACGATGAGGCTCTCTATGGTAGTCGTAAGCTCCCTGAATGACTTGAACTTTCGTTGGTCTAGTCTGTTTATCGCATCAGTGGCCATTTGTGCCTGCTGAGGATTGTGCCATCGAGCTTCTACCATTTCCATGAACTGGTCTAACGTAATTGTCCCCCAGTCCGCCATGCGTTGTCCGTACCCAGCCTTTGTCACTACACCATCCAGCCATTTGGCTACCTTACCCTCAAGGTAAGATGCAGCAGTAATCACCTCCTCCTCCTGCAAAGTCCTCTTTGCCTTCACCCAAACCGGAACTGTTCTCAACCAAGTGTTGAGCTCTTCGTCCTTCTTCTCGCCCGAAAAGGCAAGAGGCGGTTTCATAGGGGTCTTAGGGTACCAAAGACCTTGCGGCTGTCCCTGTGGAGGAACAGGTTGTTGCGGTGGTGTAGCTCCCACCGCTGGACCCGAAGAAGAAGAAGCAACAGTCTGTGAGACTGCTGCAGACGTGCCACTTGGTTGTGTGCCAGCTTGTACGGGAAAGAGGCCGGACATCGTCGTTAACGGCAACGGCGACTGTGCTGGTGGCCTAAATCCTGGCCTTTGCAAAATGTCCAGGATCTGGTCTAGGGTGTTCTGCATAAAGTCCAATCGGTTGTCCACGTGCGCATGCAGCGACAGCATATTGTTCTTCAATATTTTCATTGAGTCAGACAGTCCTGGCTCATCCATACCCTCTAAGTCAGCTTTGTCTGCCTCTAATGTTTCAAGCCTGGCTGTTCTATTTTTGATCTCTCTTTCTCTATCGGTTGCCTGCTTCAGTTCCCTCTCTAATTGTTCACGGATCCTTTCGACCTGTTGGAGCTCTCTAAGCTCCCTTTCACGTGGGGTCAACGGGCTGAACAGCGAGCCCGCCATTTGACTTGTAGACTGTCACGAACCTATTGAACTGGAAGTACCCGTGGACCCTGTGGGCATTCCCAACATGGTCCCATTGGTCCCAGACGAGGACGCAACCGAAGATGCTGCTGCAAAAGACATGGCTACTGCCCTGGCTGCTGCAGCAGCCTGTTCCCTAGCTGCGGCGTTCACTGTTTCCCTAGCTGCTGCTAGTGCACGGGCTCTGCGTTCGGCACGAAGCCGTCCTTCTTCTCCCGGTTGTAGGGCCTGAAACACGTGCGGGATCCTACGTGATCTCGAACGTGTCAGTCTTGCATCGTCAACTGCTCCCTCATCGATGTCTGACCCGTTCATCAATTAGGCAAACATTATATGCACTAGAACCCCCTAGTGGAGTCCTACCACAGCATGTGTCTGACCGACACCTAATTTTCTAAAAATAGTTGTGTCCGGCAGGTCCCCTACTTTACCGATCAARTGGCAAYCTACAACATTCACAACAGATTGTCAACATAGTCTAGATGTATCTTGATTGGTTCACTTACARCARCATTWGATAGAACTGGCTATGGTAGTATACAACAGTCCTACTCTAATCTGTCTGTGAGGTGTTAGCAGTCTGTCCACCAACTAATCAAAGATAAAAGAAGACCATGTTGCAGATGTATGAATAGTGGGTATGGTTGTGTTCCCAATTGAGCATCAATTAGAACCTACCCTCCCCTCAATCCAACATACCAAACAGCATCATTGAGCAGCAGTGTCTTCGTGTGCAACGTCGGCCCACCCATGTGCCCAAGTCGTCATCCACTCTTATTTACCCTCGTACGAAACGAGCCTTATTGCCCAGTGTGATCTGGCTGATCAGGAGGAATTTAAGGAGAGCCCCCATCTCTGCAGGAATTATTTAACGTCGCAGACAGGACGACGATCACAACCAGAATCAACACTGAGTCCCCAATCAGAAATGTTTATAGACGGTCTGATAAGCGTCTCTTATGGGCTGGCACACCCGACAGGACTTCTATTCAGCGCAGCAAGTGCCAAAATGGACAGCAGCCATCACATGCGTGACCTACTCCCATTGGGTTGGCATGGTGACTGTGACCCAGTGCTTCGACCAGGGCCCTTCAGAGGCACCGCCCTT